TAATTTATCAAAAATTTTTGCTACCCCATAAAATTGTTCTATGGAAGTAAAGTAACAACTTCATGCACCAGAATACCGGAAGTATTGTCTTTTAAAAGAAAAAACTTATGTTATTGTTGAAACTTACTAAAAGCGTTCGGATTTACCCCGGCTGACCCTATATTAAGAGAAAAAAGGTAAAAAAAAGTATATTATAAAAAATTTAAGAGGTTATGTCTTAAGGAATTTTCTTCACGTTTCCCCCATGCAATTTTATCATGTGTGAAACCCAAGGCAAAAAATCGATTTTTCACGAAAAGCGGAAGTCTAACACCAATATATAGGTATATATATATATATATATACACTCTGAGATGGGATTTTGCTGATTCAATTTTATCAAACTTCACATGAAATTGTATATATATGTCAGCAAAACTTTTTGGGAAACTTATACCTGATTTCTTGGAAAATATATAACTTTTTTTCACGAATTTTCGCAATCAAATTCTTTACTCAGGCATTCAAAAAATTCATATTTTTTTTTTCTTTTATACTAAAAATATTGACAACAATAAAATTATAATACTTTTTCACTTTGTTTATGGAAAATTAATTTACATTATAAATACAAATTCCAATAAAACTTTATATATTATTTTTAGGGTTCCGTACATGTTTCGGAACCCTATTAATATCGTCTAACCCCACCACCCCCCCCCCTAGCGGTCACATCTTTTGACATAGAGAACTCAAATTTGGTATACCTATTTATGTACACGACGAAAAATGAAAATAAAGTAACTTTTACTACTTTAAAAGAAAAAGCGGAACTGTCCGCAGTTTCTGACAATTTTTATTCCAGAAATAGTAAATTTTACTAGTTCTAAAAATAGCGAGAAATAGTAAAATTTATCTGATGGAGGAAAAATTGCCAGAAACTGCGAACACACTGTAAAAAAAGGAGTTGAATTTTAACTCCCTCGGGGATGCTATAAAATTTTCACTCTTTTGAAGTTGAAGCGAAGGGAGTTAATGGTTTACGAGTTAATTTTATGCCATACACGGAGAAAAAAGAATTGTTGTGGTTAATAAAAATTAAGTCCACACAACATTTCCGGATAGTCAACATAGAACCAGCAGTTCTATTTGTTGTTGGGACAAAAAAAAATTGCTGAAATAAGATTGTTCGGTGAACAAACAGAATTGTTTGATGAACATAGAAAATTGTTATGGAACAGTTGAAATAACAAAACTAAATTGTTAAATCGGCAATACAATTTGTTTTATTAACAAAGCTTTAATCCGTCTAATACAATTTATTTAGTTTCTTCACCTTCTAAAATAATTGATAGCATCGACAAAGAGTTTGCTTCTGTAACTGTACGGAATTGCAAACTAAACAAAAGTGATAACAAAAAATTCATATTGTTGTTAAAACAACAAACATTTATACTGACAACAATCCGAATTGTAATATTAACATTTCGAATTATAATATCAACAAATCTACTGACAACAATCCCATTTTTCTCTGTATAGGGAGTTAGTTTTACGGAGAGTTAATTTAATTATTAACTCCCTTTTTGAGTTGATTTTTAACTCGAAAAATTTAACTCCCAACTCCCAGTAACGTTAACTCCCTAATTTTTTTACAGTGCAGTTCCGGTTTTACTTTTAAAGAACTATCTATTTTACCGATACAATCCATCAAATTTGTTTCATCAGCAGTCGGTAAACAGTTTTAAATTTATGTAAACCGTCAAATAAGTTTTACCAACAGTTGGTATAATAGTTTTGTCAGTGGAATTATTGCATATTTTAAAAATCAGTCGATTCTAATTTATATTAGAACTCGGTAAAACAGTTTTAAACAGTCAACAGTGTTTTATCAGCAGTAGGTAAAACAGTATTTTAAACCAAGCATTATTATCGATTTAATTGGTCTAATCTATTTTATCAGCAGACGATAAAATAGTTTTGACTAAAAATTATCATCGATTTAACCAGTCTAATCTGTTTTATCGGCAATCGCGGTAAAACAATTTTGACTAAGAACTATTATTTATTTAATCAGTTTAATCTGTTTTATCAGACATTGATAAAAAATAAGATATTACTAACTAAAAAATCAGACAAATACGAGTTTAACTCGCAGCGTTCGAGAGTTAATAAAAAAAAATCCAAATAGCAGTAGAAACGAATTCCTTTAATACAAATAAAAAAATTTATTTAAATCAAAGAAATTCTTTCACTTTTGCTTTATTTTGCTAAAGAGAAAAAATTTCGTTAAAAAATTTGTTCACTAAAAATGTTCTATTTAAAACAATTACATTTAAAATTTAAAAAATTTATCTCTGTTAACTTTAATAATCAAATTAATTATCAAAAGTGATGGAAATGATTGTGTATAATTTAACGCGTTTATTTTAAGCTACCATTAATTTTTTTTCCTACGACTTTCCTTTCTCCACGAATATATATATATATATATATAGTTGCAAAATTTAATTAAAAATTACTTTACAAGTTTAAAAATGTATAATATAACAAGAGATGATGATTATCGAAGGAATAATCTCACTTTATAGATCTTCATAGGTCACGGAAAAAAATATATTTTAAAAACAAAAAAAAATATAAAAAAAAATTGATAAAATATAGATAGCCAAAAAGGGACAATGACTGTGAAAAAAAAAATTGTTTTAAGAATAATTGCAGATCAGATGAGTCCTTGACAAACTGCAAAATGCACATTCACGCGCGATCAAAATTGCTTTCCACGCTGAGATTCGTGTCATATCCGGATTTTATCTTGATTGCAATACCTCAACTAAAACACAAAAACATGAAAAAAAAACTACTTCCCACACGATCGATCTTTAGATATCAAAGTGCTATTAACTCTTTACATCTCATGTAAAAAAACAATCTTTATAATTTCATTTTATATTTAATTAACGAAACACTAGTCAATTAGCTTTAAAATCTTATTTAATTTCCCATTACATACATTTAATATAATAATTGCATAATTCACATTTATGAAAATTTAATTATCATTTTATGTCATTTTGTTATTATTATATTATTATCTTTAATATTATTATTATCATTATTTTTTTTATTTTTTTTACATTATTATTATTTTCATTATCATTAATAGCCGGGACTTTAAGTATTTTTTGTTGTATCTAAATTTTCAAGTTGCAAATTTAAATTTAAGAATCATGCAAAATTAATTTATTTTATTTTAATTCAACTATTTTCTATTATTAATTTTTTTTATTGCTATATTTAAAAAATCTAAATTCCCACTTTAAAAGTAGAAAATATATATAAATTTCCAATCCCTTAACATAACCTCAAATTATAAATTGATTTTATCTCCAAAATAACTAATCAATAATTTTTCTATTTAAAATAAAATATACCTTTCGATTGGCTTAAATAATAATTATTTGATATATAAGTAAAAATTTATTTTGATAATAGTCAAGTAACCGATTATTGGAATGAAATAATTTTTTTTTTTTTCAATGTAATATAATGGTTTTTTAATATAGATGAAAGTAAAGTAAAAAATTGTGGCAACGTCGTAAAAATAGTATAAGATTTCTCAAGTTGGTATTAGTCATAATCAGCTGTTTAAAGTGTTGTCACATTTACATTTAATACACACTTCGACAAATCTTGCGTGTTTAGTTCATTATTTTTTATTGTTGTTATCCATAAACTATTGGTAAGTTCAAAAAGAAATTATTTAGAAAATTTTAAATCAACTTGTTGACATTTATTTCCAAAAGAATCTATAAATTATTTTTATTAGGATATATTTTTAAAAATCTTCAAATATACTGTTTTAGACTTCTTCACTTTTTAACTTAATCCATTGAAATACTTTTTATGAGAAAACTTACAGACTGAATATTTTCATGTGAAATCACGTGACCTTACTAGCACACGTCCTTAATTAAAAAACGAAAATTATTTATAAATTCATAATTGTTTGGAATTATATAATAATTTAAAAAAATATATCAATAGTGATAAAAAAATTTGTGTAAATCAAAATTTACGTTTGCTTTTTTAGTAGTGTTCCTCAGTTTATTTTTTAACACATTATTTAGAGCCTAAAACCCTAAAATATAATTATGGAAAATTGAAGAAATTAAAGCGGGGTACTTTAACCGGTCGGTAATATAGAGAGCTACAAAAAATTTTATTTCCAAATTTGACAAAAATAAGTGTGGCATCGAGACTAAACCTAAAGTAATCGAATAACACAAAAATCTGATACCGTAGACTTCAGAGTAAAATGTTGTCACGTCAAAAATTAATTTCTTCATATTTTAAAATTTTTATTTAAAAATTTTACTTTATTGACAAAATTAAAATTCGATGAATATTGGAATTCTAATGATGGCTAAGAAAAATTTCTATATTCAATTAACTTCATTCTTAACATTTACCATGATTTTTTATAAGAGTGAAGTTATAATAGTATATATAAATTTTTCGTTTCGGATAGCTGCTGCACCAAAAATTTTTTTAGTGTAACTTATTTTGGAGAAAAATTTAAAAAAATTTAACACTATTCAGAGTACCAATATATTTACTAGGAATCAACTTTTTTTTCTATATGTGAAAATACGAAAAAAAAAATATTCACAAATATCGACTGCAAAGTTTACCTCATAAAAATTCTTTCAAAACATTGACATTACCGATAAAAAACAAAATATAAAAAATTCCTGACATATAACAAGTCATCGTATTGTATAGAAACGATAATAATAATAATAATAATAATAATAATAATAATAAAATATAATTCAATACAATAATTTTACGTAACGTAACGTAATTAACTGTTATTTAATGTAATTAAATGTAATATAATATACAAAAATACAATATAATATAGCAAATAATATTAAAAATTTAATATAAATTTAATAAAAAATAAAAAAAAAGTTTTTTTAAAAAGAATTTTAAAATGCTTCTTTAAATTTGATAATATATTACATTTTATTACGTTTTCTTACGTTCTAATGTCGTAGGTCAGGGAAATTAAGAAATATTAATTTAAAGCATTTAATCTATTACAACTCACTAAATGTTATTGTTTTGAAAGTCTTCACAAAGGTAAGTTTAATTATTTCATATACTCTTCTCATTAAAATTCTTAACCTACTTTTCGTTTAAATTTCAATAATTATAATCATTAAATTTAATTTAATATAAATTTCACATGTCCAATCAAAAATATTTTTTACAATTTACACAATTAAAACAAAAAAAAAAACTAAAAAAAAAAAAAAAATTTTATATTAATCAACAAATTATAGTGGGCAATTTTCATAAAAACAAACACAAAACTTTAAAAATAAACCGTTGCAAATAATTTATTTTAACAATATAATTAATAAACAAAACAGTATATTATTTAGATTAATAAATTATATTATATAAATTATATATTAATTATTATATTATATTATCAATTACTTTATTTAATGCAACATTATTATTACTATTATTATTGTTATTTTTAATTATTATTATTTTTTATTGTTATTATTATTAATATATTATTATTAATTCCATTCCAATTACTTTTCACGAATTTATTAATATTGTAAAAATAATAATTAAATGCAAATTAATAAATTAAATTTTAATTTTTGTTACAGATTCGTATATGAAATTAAAACGGTCATTGAAAGACAGTTAAATTGAAAAAAAAACAAAATAATCACGAGAAATAACAGACAAAAAAAAAAAAATATCAAAATGATTAGCGAACTTCCAACTGAAGTTTTACAATTGATATTGCGAAAATTGGATAGCAAATCACTTTTGCATTCGGCTCTAGTTTCTCGTCAATTGTTGGCCATTTGTAAATCGGATCCTCTTATTAGAAGACGATTGCGACATCATTTGAGTAGAAAAATGAAATTACTCAACGAATTCCATGAAAATTTCAAATTACGAATCTAAACTTTCAAAAAAAAAAAAATTAAATTAAATTAACAATAAGAAGTACTGAGGGACTGACATATGGTACTTCTTATGAACTACCGGACGAAACGACTCGATTGTGGGATACACACAATCAAACAAACGAAAAATTAATCGTGAGTGTTTATTTAATATAATATGTGAAGTGAAGTGAGAACTAAAATTTACAGCTTAAATATAGAAATTATTTAATGCTTAAAATTTAATACTTAAAATAATCAATAATGTATATATATATAGATAGAAAAATGTTATTAATTATTGTAATAAATTTGTTGAAATTTAAAATTTTCTATATATATTTTTTATTATTTATATAATTGTTTTTTATTTCTTTAATTATACATTTATTGGTATTTTTTTTAATTATTTATTTTTTTAATTATTTTATTGCTTTTATTAATTTTGCATCATATTAATTTGATTATTTTATATTAATTTTTATTTTATTAATTTGATGATTTTATTATTTTTATTTCATTAACTTGATTATCTCATTATTTTTACTTCATTAACTAGATGATTTTATTTATTTTTACTACATTAACTCGATGATTCTTTTTTTTTTTTTTTTATTTCATTTACTTGACTATTAAAAAAAATGTTATTTAAATTTAATTAATAATTTATTTTATTTTATTTTAACAACATTTATAATTTGTTTATTATAATTTCTAAATTTTCTTCAAATTATTAATAATAGATTTTAACAATTATTTGCATTATTATATAATTTTTGAATTTATTTTGATTTTTGAATCCTGACGTTTCTTTGTTTTTGTTTTGACGAACTTGTGTAATTTCTTTTGTTTGTTACTCCCAATATTTTTCATTCCACTGCATTAAATTAATCGAAATTATAAAATGTATAATAAATCATTATTATTATTATTATTAAATAAATAGAAATTATTTAAATTTTTTTCCTATTTTCTTACTTTTATTTGTTATATATATATATTTAAAAATATTTTTCATTGTTCACTTTTTTTTTCTTTTTAATTTCTTTCTCTTCAAGCATACTCGAGTTTTATTTATTTTTTTTTTTTTGTATTCTTTTTTTTTAATACTGTGTTTCCTTCTCTCATTGTTTCCGATTATTTTTCCTCGCATTTTTAGTTTTTATTTTTCCTTGTTATATCTTTATAAAGTACAATTGTCTTTCTCTGTTTTCACTAGGTTATTATATTTCAAGACTATATATTGCACATATTATATTGAGAATCAACTTTCTTCAATTCGAATTTCTCGCTGGTTTTCTTTACACAAATAAAATAACTAAACAGGATCCATAGCATAGGCTTTATATATAATATAATATTTTTGAATTTGATAATATAAAAATTATAAATATTGAAGTCAATAATTTATATGGATTATAAATTCAGTGTTAAATTATTGAATCATTTTTTTTTTAATTAATTAAAATTGATTTATTATAAAGAGAACATAACCTCAAACTTACTGCAATGTGAATTTCTCACTCACATATTGATAAATTTTTTTCAAATTTTATAAATTAATAAAAATTGTTAAAAGAAAGTTTTTTAAAAAAAACATTTTGCGGTTAATTGTAAGTTTGGACCACATTATGTACTTATATGTATTTATGTGTTTGAATTTATGTGAAAACAATCTAAAATAGTAACTGATAACTTTTCAAAGACAATTGTACTTTAGAAAGATAACAAGAAAAAATAAAAACTAAAAAAGGGTCGATACTATACAGATTTCAATTCTATACAATGTCAAAACCCTACACGTAAAATTCAACACAAAGCCCGTTTTCATCGTGTGGATAAATTTAATCTTCCGAGAGGTTAAAAGCAGTAGATATATTCTGCGCCTGCGCAGAAGCTATATACAAACATTTTGAGCAGACGCAGAATACATCTACTGCCTTTAATCTCTCGGAAGATTAAATTTATCCAAAAGGAGAAAAGAGTTACGGTTGTGGCTACAAAACTTGTTTAGTAGCTTAAAATATTGTCATGACAACTTTACTAGCAGTTGTTGTAACTAAAATGAGCCAAAAGTTCTGAACGTTCAAATGAACGAAATATTTTTTTCAATCTATAAATTATTAAAAATTATGATGACAATATAAAATAAAAGAATAAATTAAACAATTATTAAATTAATAACTTCTTTTTAGATAATTAAAACAAATATTTTGTAATAAAATTAGTATTTAAAGAAGTTGCAAAAAAAATTTCGTTCATTTGAACGTTCAAAACTTTTGTCTCATTAACTAAACAGCGTTGAGTTCCGTTTAGTTCACGATACTCAACAGTGTTTTTGGCCTCACTCTCTTTTGAGTGAATGCTACGCTACTGCTTATGTTCCCCCACTTTTTATTGAGATATCAAAATGTCGAACGCTTCTTTCTCCAAACAGTACACTTTGTTTATGTTTTTATTTAATTTTTTTTATCTTATTTGAATAAATTTATATTGAAATTATTAGGAATTTATCAACAGTGTGCATTATTATTTATTTTTAATGAAACATGAAATATAATCAACATATTATAGGTTATGTTTGCTATGTTCAAAACAAAAGCAGCCATTTTAGATTTTTAACTGATTTAAAGGTTGGCACTATTGTATACTGAACAGGTTACTGCTACTAGACGGCTGTTTAGTAAAGCCTACACTCTTATATTGGTCCGTTGAAAATTAACAATACTGTTTAATTACCACAAACGAACCGAGAGTCCTACTCACTATCCAGTTCTCTCTGTGCATATATATGGTGACAATGGACTCACAGTTAAACTCTAAACTTTAAATTGTACAATGTTAAACCCAACACTGTATTTTATAATAAAAAATTATGTATTATTTATTAAAATTAATTATTTATTACAAAATAAAGTGTAAAGTTTAACATTGTACAATTTAAATATGTATAGAATTTAAAAAAAAAATTTTATAGAGTTTAACGGTATGCAATATTAATATTTATTATTATTTTTAATTCTTAAACAGATAACCATATTTAAATATGGTATGAAACCTACTTGTTTCAGAAATAGTTCCGTAATTTTTCATATGAGGCTTTATGAGAAATTCATGTATAGTAACTCGTCAATTCCCGTGCAGAAAATTTGACCGGACTTTGGTCGGGCCCAAACCAGGCACAACCGGGGCCAGATCTGGCAACCTGATCTGGGCGCGATCGAAATGAAACAGGGAACCCGACCGGGGCCGTGCCAATTTGTCCGATCTGGAATCGTGGTCGGGACCCGACCTGGGCCATGGTAATTTGCTCGACTTTATAGTAATTGTAATTTTCAATAAATTATAATTATTTATCTCCAATTGATAAATAAAAGAATAAAATTAATCAATATTATTTTTTCTTATGAATCTGCATTTAAAAAACAGCTTATAATTGTTTCGTTTACTCTCTAAAACTGAATTAGTAAAAATGTTTACTAATTTAAATTAGTGACTCACTTTTTGCTTATGAATTAGTAAAATTTTACTAATTATTAGTAACTTTTATTAACAATTAGTAAAATTTAAGAGAGACTCACTTTTTGCTTTAGAATTAATTAAATTTTACTAATTGTTAGTAAAAGTTACAAATAATTAGTAAAATTTTTCTAGTTCATAAGCAAAAAGTGAGTCACTAATTCAAATTAGTAAAAAAATTTTACTAATTCAGATATAGAGAGTAAAAAATGTCATAAAATGCTATAAATGTATTTTCACTAGTTTTTTAAAAATTTTAAATATGGCAACCAGGCCTGACCCTGGTTGGGCCTATAGAAATTTACTAACCCGGGGCCAGAACAGGAAATCGGATCGGGGCTAGGTCGGTAATCGGGATGAAAAGTGGCAATTTCTGCACGGGTAAGTAAGGAAGTTTCTTTCATATATCTAAAATGGACTAAGCAAATTCTAATTTGATTTCTTCTTAAATTATTAATGTTCATATTTTAACAGAAAATGAGAAAATATTTTAGACTATATCAAAAATATTTTATTACTTATTTAAACAGATAAGTTTGAAAATATCCCGAAATAATCGCGATAAAAAAATCTTTCAATGTTATTTGTCGTCCTTTTTTTGAATTTAAAATGTCGATAGGTAAATTTCACGTGTAATTTAATTTTAAACGTCACTCTGTATAATTAACGCTAATTAACTATTTATCTATATTTACTTTGGAATATGATAATCCATTATGTCAAAGGGAACTACTCGTATATGAAATCTATTAACTACCATGTCTGCTATCTGCGATATGATAATCTTCCTCTCAGCAGAGGTATATACATCTCTCATCCTATGCATGTGCATATCTCTGATCTGAGGTACATGTTTAATTATACGCAACAGATATGACAGCAAACGCATCCGAGACATCATAGAGAGAGAGTACTACATCCGCTTTAACACTTAATTATACAGAGAGAGAGGGGGGGGGGACAAACGCTTCCGATTTGAACGCGCGAGTCGATTGCACGCAACTCTATTGTATGTTAATAAACCTCTAATTGCGCCCGATTGGACCCTCTTCAGGCCCGTTGATCACCAAGTCGCTGTTCTCGAGTATTATATAAAATTACCCTTTCAATAATTCGATGTATGTATATACAGTTTATTTTATTTAAATTGTTAAATTAAAAAAACAAAAATTAAAATTCTTTGCGAAAATCTCGACACAAACAAATGTTGTATCATTTCGTATTTTAAAGATAATATTTTACCAATATTAACTGAC